GTCCAGGGTAAGACGATAAACTACGTTCAACGGCAAGACATTTGATCAGTCTTAATTGCTGATGTTTCCAGGTCTTTCCTGACCCGGAGTGGTAGCACATGTTAGGATACCAGCTATAGACACATAGATAACCCAGAAACTGTGACAGAACGTCTCACGCCTTGTGCTACAGACAGAACGTCTCACGCCTTTATTGCTACCTCAAATAGCAAATATTCAAACGAGCTCCATTCTTTAGTACTACAAGCTCAGACATTTACAGCCAACACCAAACTTACAACAAACACAAGACTGAATTATTCTCGTTCCTTACTTCTATAAGGAAGAAAGTTATTTATTTCGGAAAGCTTCCTTTCAACAACGGCTAAATATGGATTTAATCCTAGGTATGACGATGAACTAAAGACGGCAGCAAGGTCTCGAGACATTTGAGGATTTGAGGAGTGAAGGCTCCTGTTGTTGTTGCCAGATCCACCCCAACGCGAGGAGGTAGCCCCTGGTAGTGTACCAGCTATGGGAAAATTGTATTTTGATTTTTGTTTGATGATTCACTAAGAAAGTATAAATGTAAATTATAGTATAAAATATAATTTTATAGTAAAAAAATGCCAGCAATATATTTATACGAAAATGACAAGCAGTAACATATCTTTATAGTAAAATTACAATCAATACAGCACAAAAGTATGAAAATATATTTATAGTAAAAATACCAATAATATATTCATGCAAAAATGAATTCTCAGTTCATACCGTACACATCATATAATAATACTCTACTTTCAGCTGAGCTTAGGCCTTGAAGTAGCTGTAATAAAAAATATTAAGGCTATTATTTCCATCTTATGCAATTACCGTATATACCCGCGGATAAGACGCCATTTTTTTAGCAAAAACTTCACAAAATGTTAGGATTGCGACCTATCCATTCGTATAAATCTAAAACATTACCTTATCATAATTTCTGAGAAATCGGAAATGATACCCATAAACATTAAAGACTGTGGTTTTTCGCTGTATAGAAACAATTTATCTATCAAATAGACTCACTGCTTTAAACTTACCTCATGCTGCTAGATTCACATATCCATCACAATAAATAAATGTAACTATAAAAATATTCATTGATCTATCAGTCACCGTTCGGTCAGAGTCCTCGCACAAAACTGATATAGAAACGTTGAATATTCATACGTTACTAAAGAACCACGTGTAGATGTTCATTGACAAAGAAAATATAGCCCAACGATTCTTTCTGCAATATATATATATATATATATATATATATATATATATATATATATATATAATTATTTATTTAAAAATATTATTCCATCGCTACATAAGAGTTCTCATGTTTCAAAACAAGAGCCGAAAACTTCGATATAATTATTTGATTTAAATTGAATTAAAGTACCAAGCACTGTTCCATATTCGAGAGAAAATTTTTTTTTGAATAACAAATTCTTGAAATTTACGCGTTTTATAAGCATATTCATTGAACTATCCGATTGAGCTAAACTGGAAGATATGTCAGAACAAATAGGTACCAGAGGAAAAAATTGGAAATAAAAAAAGAAAAAGACTAAAACCATCTGAACATTGGGAAACAAATGGTCAAATGCTTAAAGTCCTTAGTCCCCCCCAAAAAAAATCAAACGTGTAGAATGACTAAAACATAGTGTGCTCAATACGCTATGTAGATCGATAAACCATATATATATATATATATATATATATATGTGTGTGTGTGTGTGTGTGTGTGTGTGTGTGTGTGTGTACGCGTGTGTGTGTGTGTGTGCGTGTGTTGTCTAAAATGCGTTGGAAAATATGACTATGATAATTTTCTTTAATTGTTATTTCATATAATATTAAAAGACGTTTTTAAGTGTTATTTACAAATAACAAAGCGCATGAATCTAGTAACCAAAAAATATGCACTATTTTGCATTGCGCAGGGATACAGTTAATAGCCAAATTTATAGTTTATAATTTTAATTGTTACGTTTAAAAAGGGGTTTGAAACTCCCCAGATTATAATGCTACCTATCTGCGAGTTAACCGTAAAGCATCAATTATTAAGTCATAAATTAGGGGTGCGACCTATACAGTGGGGCAACTTATTCGCGACTATATACAGTAAGTTAATTCCTGTGTACTGTTAGTGGTTTATTGTTTCTGTGTTGTTATTTACAGAGGTCATATTTTACTTGCAAATTTTATTTTTCTTAATGAAACCTCTTAGCTCCCCAAAACTTCCTGTTTAAGTAATTTACGTACCTTACGAGACCTCATTGCCCCTGTTCTACTATTTATTCACAAAAACACATTAACTCGGTGAAACATTGTTTGCCACTGCTGTTTTCGTCACTGTCTTTTAACTATTAAATACACTAAGCCAGTGCTTCTCAGATGGTGCACATGGGCCCACTTGTGCGTCGTGGAAGATGTCTAGGTGCACCCTGGTATTCAAAAGAAATATGTGTTCAAATATATAAAATAAATATATTTATTTTATTAAAATTGCTGTAATCGTCACATTCTTATTTATGGGAACGTGGCTTTTCTACTCCCACTAAAATTAAGTGCAAAAAGAGAGGATCTCTTATATGTATTGACAAGGAAATTAAAGTTTGCCTATCAAATATACGAGTAAACGTTAAAGAAAACTCTAAGACTCACCGGGTTCATGTTTCTTATAAACACAATAAAGAATAAAATTAAACCATGTTCCAATTTATATATTTTATTGCATTATTTCTATTCTGCAATATTTGACTTCATTTTAACATATTTTTCCAAAATTTGTATATAGTGCGCCTACAATTATTGGTAGGATTTCAAGTGCGCCCCTACGTCAAAAAAGATTGAGAACCACTGCACTAGGGGTTATTTTCTCATTCCACGTCACAGAATTTGCACCTGTCTCATTCTGATTATAAGTATAAATCTCTAGTAGTCTTTTTACTTAAGACGTCTTCGTTACTCACACGGTCTGTTGATGATTTTCTTAGCATTTATCCGTAGAATCAAAAATCTGCTGTTCAAGCCTGTTCTTTATATATATATATATATATATATATATATATATATTATGGACATAACCTGGCATTCGGTCATTTTTAGCAGTTCAGTAAACTCTTCTTCGATTCCAAGCTCAGGTTGGCTTAATATTTTCTTAGTTTACTCCTATAGGGCTTACGGATACATACGCCACGTTATCAATTGTTTGTTAACTACCCTGATCATTGAAGTTATCTGCTTTGTAGCAGTACCTCGCTTAATTTGGGGTGTCGCTTTGGTGTCCTTTGTTGGTGTATATAGAAAAATTGGCATGATAATTACTTGATTCTATTCGCGAAATATAACGAACAAAAATACCCCACGCAATAGTTATTGTTTGTTAATTCATACCCTTCTGTAGATTAATTAAAACAAGCGGTTTAGTTTCCTTTCCTTCAACGTACAGCCAGTTTTAGAGCCACTTGAGTAAAGGGTGTAATGGATTTCTATTTTGTTTCACATTATGTCACTTGAAGTGTTATGAAGTAATATTTTGGTGTGTATATTGAAATTTGTTTGGACTTAAAAGAATATTACATCATACGTGATTGCATCAGATTTCATCACGCCCAGGCACTACTGTCTCGATTGTCGATTAGTTGTCCACCGCCCATTGTAGGCGATGTACGTTACTACAAGGAAGCGTACCAAAATTGCAACGCTGCACGAAAACATTACCAGTGAGGAAATATGTACTATAGACAGGCCCGGAAACTCTCCTGATTTAAATCCAATGTAGAATCTGTGGTCAATCTCCAAGGAACGACTTTGTGGAATAAACATACGAAGTACTGACTTGTGCACTGGGCCATGTTTGATTGGAAAAAATACAAAAAAAGTAAATAATAACTGAATTTTTCGTTTTCTTTTAATTGATTTTCACAGGGTGAATATATATATATATATATATATATATATATATATATATATATATATATATATGTGTGTGTGTGTGTGTGTGTGTGTGTGTGTGCGTGTGTGTGTGTTTATGTTAAACTGTATTTTTATGATATATAGCCATGTGTATCATAAAAAATATACATATACGCATGTATACTTGTACTTACGAATAAATATATTTCATCATCGGTTGTTAGAAATACGATGCTCACTGTTATGTAACAGGTCTATAACCATATATTATTGACTATACATAATATTTAACGTCGGTAGCACGACTCGGAATTTCATATGGAATTATTTGTTTTGTTTCAATTAATTTGGACTAGGGTTCATCTCTACTAGATTTTGATCAACGTGACTGCCGCTAGTCGGCAAAATATTTCTCTTTTGTGGAGATTCAGCTATTTCTTCCTGAGAGTACCATAGGAAAAAACGAAAACCATAGGTGCGAGAACAGACACCGGATACCGACAAAACTGGGTCGATACAGATACACACTGTCGGCTACAACTGTTTTGAGATACCATGCCCACTTGAAGAGTCCTGCTTTCAGGTAGGTTTAATATCTGAGGTTTATAGCACCCATTTGGCTGTACAGAGGAAAAGAATAATTTCCAATTTTCCCGCTCTAAAATACCAGCTTATGTAGAAATAATTTCAACTATTTTCTATCAATCTTTTCCTCGAATTGCTAGATATCTTTCCCATGCGCTACTATTTTTTTAGCCGTAGCATCTTTTCTTGAAAACCACCGTGGATGGTGCCCTTCTCAAAATCCACGCCTCTCCATCAACAAATCAACAATAGCTGTCTCCTCGTCGATTAAGCATTCCTCTCGATCAATCTGCATCGTTTTCGAGTGGTAATTCCAGAAGGTTGAATAGGCGAGCGGCTCGTCACTGATCGACTTTACAAGGATACAGATAAGCGGGCAAGAAGAAGCCGTTCGATATTGGGGAATTAAGTGCTTGGATGCCTAGTTTCCTGCATCGGTGAGTGAAGGAGGTTTGGAGAAAGCCCACCCGGACAAAGGATCAAATCAAAAGGAAAGAATCAGGAAGAAGATAAATAAGAGAAAAAAGAAGAAAAGAGAGAAAAGAAGAAAAAAAGAAGAGAGAAAGAAGATGAAGAAAGAAAAAGAAGGAAAGAAAGAAGAAAGAAAATGGAGAAAGAAAAAGAAATAAAAGAAATAAGAGAAAGAAATAAAGAGAAAAAAGGAAAAAAGAAAGAAAGATAGGAAATAAAGAAATTAGAGAAATAATTAAAGAAGAGAAAAAAGAAAGAAAGAAATAAGAGAAAGAAAATGAATGAAAGAAATAAGAGAAAGAAAGAAAGAAATTAGATAAAAAGGAAAAGAAAGAAAAAAGGAAATAAGAGAAAGAAAGAAATAAGAGTACTAAATAAAGAAAGAAGAGAAAGAAAGAATAAAGAAAGAAATAAGATAAAGAAAGAAAAGAGAAAAAGAAATAACAGAAAGAAAGAAAGAAATAAAAGAAGGAAAAAGAAAGAAAGAAATAAGAGTACTAAATAAAAGAAAGAAGAGAAAGAAAGAAAAAAAGAAAGAAATAAGATAAAGAAAGAAAAGAGAAAAGAAATAACGGAAAGAAAGAAAGAAATAAAAGAAGGAAAAAGAAAGAAAGAAATAAGAGTACTAAATAAAGAAAGAAGAGAAAGAAAGAAAAAAGAAAGAAATAAGATAAAGAAAGAAAAGAGAAAAAGAAATAACAGAAAGAAAGAAATAAATAAAAGAAGGAAAAAGAAAGAAAGAAATAAGAGTACTAAATAAAGAAAGAAGAGAAAGAAAGAAAGAAATAAAAGAAGGAAAAAGAAAGAAAGAAATAAGAGTACTAAATAAAGAAAGAAGAGAAAGAAAGAAAAAAGAAAGAAATAAGATAAAGAAAGAAAAGAGAAAAAGAAATAACGGAAAGAAAGAAAGAAATAAAAGAAGGAAAAAGAAAGAAAGAAATAAGAGTACTAAATAAAGAAAGAAGAGAAAGAAAGAAAAAAGAAAGAAATAAGATAAAGAAAGAAAAGAGAAAAAGAAATAACAGAAAGAAAGAAAGAAAGAAAGAAATAAAAGAAAGAAAAAGAAAGGAAGAAATAATATCAGTCAGTTATGTACCATGTGATACAGGCTTAGGCGGTCATGTATCGATATCGTTACATGACTGACGAGCCACATTTTTTCCTACAGTAGGTTGCCATTTCTTTCTACCGTAGACCATTTGCAATCCAATAACATAGAACCCGGGTTGTCCTGCTATTTACCCATAGCTGGGAGGAGGAGAAAAGGATTTATTCCTTTCCCAATGGTATTAACACGTAAGTGAATGCGATTGATTCGACGTGAATTCGAACTCGGCTCTCCGATTCCTCAATCTGAGCCGCTATCCAGTAATGGTTAGAAATAAAATAAAGAACTGTTTTCCTTCTTTGTTAGTTTTATCTTCCTTGTAATGTGTGCTGGTACCGTCAAAAATAACAATGGTATTTAAATAATTCTGTAATTTCCTTGGTGATACTCCTTTTCCCTGAAAACTCGAAAGTTGTATATATTTAATTAAATAAAATTTAATAAGATTAAATATTTAAATGTAACCAGCATTTTTTTTCTTTTTTTTATAAAGTAAAGATTGGATAAGACAGTTAATAAGACAATATACTGAAAAGTGACTTCAATTTTGTTACACGCATAGGAAAGAATGCCGAAATATTATGAAATAACAATCGTTCCAGATGTTATTAAATACAAGACAATTTTCTTACTGAAGAGAACGGAGGAAAAAATATTTGATCAAAAGAAGATGCTGCGTATATTATGGACGCAGTATAGAGGCAAGAGGAAAAAATAGGAAAGTGGAAATAAAAAGGAGAATTTTACTGAGAATTAGAAAGACTGGAGACATTTTTTGTAATAATAATGCTCCTACATGTCATGGGAATTTTATAATTTTGTCACAGATGTCAGGGTCACTTTGTAGCTCAGATATGTGGTTCTAGAGAAAATAAAATTCCAGACAATAACACGGACAGAACATATGAGCAAAAATATAATATGACATTTATATTAAGAATCGAATAGATTACTGAACTGTTATGCCATATGTATCCGCTGTTTCCTCGCACATGGGATGGAAAACTTTGTGTAACGAGGATATAGCTCTAACAAAAGTGTACTGAGAATAAATAGAACGAAAATGGGATCAATGAAGGCCTCTTAAGAAATATATCCACAGAAAGAGAGAATTGAATGTTGTAGGACAAATGTTGAGGAAAGAAGTCTTGGAGAATTTGACAGTCATTTGACATAATGAGTGCAGGACTGAGTTGTTTTCATGAACGTTAGTATCAGCAATGCTGATGGAATGCCGAAATGATTCTCTAATGTGATTAAATGACAGCAGATACGTTTTAGATGCATTAAAAATTACAAGCTATTTCTTGCTCAGGTTAATAACTGATTTGATGTCATTTTCGATATTACCCCGCAAATTTTACTTTATCGGACCTATAGCCCGCCATCTTTTTATTTGACTTATTATTAAATGTCGAGCAACTATTTAGAGGAGACAGTTCAGAAATCGAACCCTGGGGTAATGTGAAAGTACTAAGAAATATTTGTCCGTTCAAGACGAATTTCCTTTCTTTCGTTACACGATTCGTTAAGAAACCTTGGATCAAATCGAAAATTCGGTTGAAGACACTTCCGCTTGAGAAGAGGGCCAGCATTCCAAACCCTGTCACACGCCATCGTCTTTTAATGAAAATGTGAAAAAATAAGGAACTTATATTTAGAAACAGAATGATCGTCGAACTGCTATGTCATATCAATATGCCCATATGAAAGTAGTTGTTGAATAATTTCCTCACAGATGGAGAGACTCCTTTATGAACGTTGATTCGAGAAACATGTTTTGCCTCGGATCAGAATAAGAGAGCCAAATTGTGTAGGATATGAAATGAGGAATGAAGGCTTGGAGAATTTGACGCCCATTGTGATTTAGTTTCATTTATTTAGTTTTACGATATATCAACACCTGAATCCTTATATAATGTGGATAAGATTTTTAGCATAGGTTCGTATGAATAGAATATGCATTTTTGTAAGAAATCAGGGATCAGGTTTCATTGAGATATTTTTCTAAAGAGTTTCTGCCGAGAACCAAAAGCATTTCTGGTAATATTTTTTCTACCAAAAATGTATTATTGTTCATTTTATTTTATTTTTACCATAACAATCTATTTTCATACTTCCATAGTGATTTGGCCGCAGTTTCAGTGTTAACTATTTGCCCATAATTGTGACCCAAACAGGTGCTACCACTCTGGTTTTGGGTGAAGCTTCGAACAACACCAATTAAGAGGAGGGTACATTCTCCTCCAAACCTCCCGATCAGAGGCCCTGCCTTCATCGTCATTCCCAGGAAGAGCACTCGTTATTGCCGGTAATAGATTTTTTGAAAAAAAAAAAATTCCAGCCATAAAAATATTTGTCGGCATTAAATAACACATTGAGGTTGATATGCCGTAAACCAAGCCAAACCAAACCTATCTAAGTGGAACTCTTAGATACGATCCATCGATGTGGACCTGATGTGTCGGGCTTCTCACAATTCTGTCGCTACTTACTTGGAAAGTGCTGTGACGAAGTACATTCTTTGGTTCCTCCAGATCTAATCTTCACGGCTAGAACACGCCATACCAGTTATATTGTAGTAAACCCACCACTTTTCATTTCTGATATGTAAGTTCCACTCGAACAGCTGCTTCCCACGAACCAGTGCTCTGTGGAACGGACTCCTCGATAACGACAGTCTTTAACATATTCAAGTCTAGAGTTAATCGTTATCTTCTTATCCTCTCCGTATAAGTCAGGCAGTTATGTGCGATGCGTGATACACGCTTATGCGACCATCTATCTTTCGATACATAACTGCCGAAGCAGATTTTTCACGCCATTTCATTCAAGGCTATGGAACCCGGTTTGTCCTGATATGTACTCATAGCTGGGTGGAGAAAAAGAGGATTTATACCTTACCGAAGGGTATTAGCATGTAAGTGAATATAATGGATTCGACTGGAATTTGAACTCCAGTGTGTCTCTTATTATCTAATCTTTAATGCAGTGGGTCTCAAATAGCACGCCTGTGCGCACTAGTGCGTCCTGAAAGATGTCTAGATGCGCCCTGGTATTTTGTACAATTTGTCTGTGTAGGAGAGGATAAATTAACAATATTTAAAAATGAAACCCCGATGTGTATTTAAAAGGAATGCAATTTATATAGAAGAAACTAAAATAATGCTAGTATTAAAACAACTCATAATACTTAAAAATATGTTCATCAGAAGAATTATTGTGAAAATATTTATGGAAAATGTATAGGGAAAATACATTGCGATGGCGGCAAACTGACTGAAGCCGAGATGCCGGGTCAATATCAGTAACATAGCTGATTATGCTTTGAATTTTTCTAATATTATAATCATGTCAGTAATTCCCAGTGGGGATAAGTTAATTTTATAACGTTTGTCATTCCTTCGGTGTAAATTTTGCTTGCCCCTCCTAACTCACCAGCATAGGTAACATTTTGAACCACCGGTTTTATTGTGATTTTCGCTGAGTCTGATCCTTACCCTATCACCTACGCCGCTTGCTTGAACACCACGACATTACATGTGAGAGGATTTGCTGGAGTAAAACTCATGTTGATTAAAATAAAATACTTTTAAAAATAGAGATTTTTTGTTCTGTTCTTGTTAACACAAAATTGCTCAGACGAATTTTCATTTTTATTTGTATTATCCGTCTAGACCGGTTATTAATGATCATCCTACAAATCTTCTTGTTAGAGAACATGGAATATTTAAAAAATCATGATAATATTGCGTAAGATTTATATAAAACAGTACTCCCGTTCAACTTGGAGGGGTTTTATTCTATAAACCAAATGATATCACTTTGATATCTGTGTATCTTTCTGAGATGAGCTATTATGTACACTACAGGGTGTTGCAGCAAAATCCTACCCTGGAGAAAAAGAAAACGAAATAGGCAATAAAAACAGAAGTTGTATATGTAGAGACCTGATAGTTTATTTAGCAACAGTTAGAGTTGCATACTATATTATTTTTCAATGTAACAACTTCCGGTGGCGACGACCATCTCAAGTCGGGCACGAAATGAGTCACACGCTTTTGCGACCCGAATATTATTCTCATCTTTGTTGCCATATTTATCACAACGTTTCGGCCGTTGTTCGATCCGGTCTTCTTCAGGTGGTTGGAATGTCGAACTGAACCCTTTATTCGCTCGCTGGGGTAGCCTGTTCCAGGGATTAATATGAGCGCAGAGCAGCGGTAGTAGCTTCTTTTCGCGTCGGGAAGAAGCCTGATGATGGCCTGGTTTGGTCTCAAGATAGCCATGGTCATGGATATTTGTAGAAAGTAGAAGTCATGTGAAAACAAGGACGAGTCTAGTGCTAAACGAAAGACCCACAATTTTCGTTCTTCGGCCGTTAGGACCGACGGGTTCGTCGCCGCCGTCACGGAGACAGTCGACAATGCTGGAAGCCAGAGCAACGCCAAGATCAGCGCTGATATGGGCCGTCATAACTCGATGATCTGCCGAACGATTAAGAAGGACATTGGTTACTCCTCTAACCGCAAATCTCACAGCATGCACACAACGATTGCCTCCAAGGAGTCGAGTAATTTCAAGGCGGTGGCTTTGCTGAACGAGATCAAGCACGGGTCCGCAGGGATACTGAGGTTCTTCTCTAATGGAAAGAATTTCATCCAAGACCAAACAAGCAACAGGCGGAAGGTCAGTTCGATCTGCAAAGACATCGAGGAGGTTCCCTCCTCCGTCATGGTCCTTGGCTTCATCTCTAGCGATGGGGATGTCATGCCCCCGTTACTCTTTCAAAAGGGGCCTAAGAGTCACCGCTGAGATCTACCAGGAGGTGCTGAGGAGCGTGGTTAAGCCCTAGATGGACGAGATCGTCGCCGGACGCACCTACGTCTTCCAGCAGGACTTCCTCCTGCATACAAGGCCCAGACAACCCAGGGGTATCTGCTCAACAATGTTCCTCACTACTCGTCACCGAAATTGTGGCCGCCCTCCCTACCCGACTCCAACCACTTTGCCTATTTCTTCTGGGACGTGATTAAGGCCAAGACCAACAAGCACGCCCACAGAACGGTCGACTCTCTGAAGGCTGCTGTCGTGGAGGCGTTCGCCGCTACGGACAAGGACGTGGTCGCAAAAGCGGGTGACTCATTTCGCGCACGCCCTTAGATGGTCGTCGCCGCCGGAAGTTGTTACATTGAGAAATAATGTAGTATGTAACTCTAACTGTTGCTAAATAAACTGTATTATTTCTGGAGAAAAGTTTGTCCGATTAGAACTTCCTATTCATCAATGGAATACGAAACGAATTATGATTAGTTGATCCTGTTCACGTGACTAGGTGTGTCACAGGTATGAATATCTGGATTTCTGGAACAAATGAGTGTAGATTGTGTGAACATTTACTTTGAAAATAGCTAAGATTTAACAACGTTTCATATTTGGGAATGTAGTATGTAAAATAATTCATCCCCCAGAAACTTTTCTAACCAGTGAAGTTTGGAATGTGAGTAGCACAGCACATCTCCTTTAGATATGACAACATTACACTATTTTCGGGTAGATCTGACTATTGAAACGCTCTGAGTATGGCAGTAGAAGACAGTTACTTTCAGCAGCAGTACAAGGAAACGGCAATTTTTGCTGTATCTTTAACGAGAGATCTTAAGAGAGTGGACTGAAAAGTTCAAGGGCTGACTATAAAAGAATCATGCTAGAAATGTCAAATCTTAGATGCATTAATTTCAACTCTTCTTATTAATAACTGCATTGTTTTCTACCAGGTAAGCTGACATCTGATCTTTCAACAAAGACTTTAAATGTAATGAGTAGTGACTCTTCTTGAAAATGGAAAAAACGTTAGGCCTTCTCTGGCTCTTTTAAATGTAGAGCATAGCAGGAGGGATTAGGTACTTACAGGAACGGTACAGAAAACCGACCAGTTGCTCAGCATTTTTAGTGATGGATCGCATATACGACTCACACCTGATCTCTGGGTTGAGTTTAAGTCCTAGCAGGCACATCCCTAGCCTAACATTCGTCCATGGTGTTTGGAAATCGCTATTCCTTTATTAAGACAAGCTTGCTAACCATTACACCAGGTTGAGGTGCACATATCTTCAATGTATGACTTATCTGTCATGTGAGTAATATATTAAGTGTAAAAACAAATGAAACATGTTATAAACATGAATCCCTTATAATAAATTCATAGAACTGAAAATAATGTTAAGTTTCGGAAATTGGAATTTTTAATGACCTTAACGACAGAGAGTGATAGGTAACACACTAGGTCGCGCAAAAGCTTTTGTACCCACTCAAGGCTGGTATGGTAGTAGCAGCCAGCCTCAAATTAGTTATGTGTCCAGCAAATTAGTGATGGGTCGGATGTACGAGTCACAATTGAGCTTTGGGTTAGAGTTTAATTACTAGTAGACACTCATGGCACGGGACATCCCTAGACTAACATCTGTCCATGGTGAATGGAAACTGTAATTCATTTAGTGATACAAGCTTGCTAACCATTACACCAGGTCGAGCTGCCCATGTCTCCAAAAGTAATTACTTATCTGTTACGTAAGTAACGTTAAGTATAAAAATAAATGAAGCATGTCTAAACAAGAATCCCTTATCATAAATTCATAGAACTCATAGTAATGTTAAGTTTCGGGAATTGGAATTTTTAATGAACTTAACAACACAGAATGATAGTTACGTCACCAGGTCACGCAAAAGCTTTTGTAAATAGTCACAACTGAAATGTGGGTAATAGACAGCCTAGTTATGTGTCCAGCAACTTAGTGATGGATCATATGTACGAGTCGCACTTGAGTTTTGGGTTATAGTTTAAGTCCTAGTAAACACTCAAAGCACGGGAGATCCCTAGCCTAACATACGTCCATGGTGATTGGAGATAATTCTGAAAGTACGAGGCAAATAATATGGATTGAACTAACTACCCAGTCGTAATTGTTCGAGCTAGGCCAGTTTGCTAACCATTACACCACCTCGAGGTGTCGTAACGAATTTCTAAGTGTAGCTTATATGCGGCACAAGGCCAAATGTGAGGAGCATCCAGTGTTATGTTTTTTTTGCTTTAAATGTTTGTTTTTTTTTTAACATGGCTGTATTGCTGAAAAAATTTTTGTAACCCTCCAAAATATTTTTACATACAAGATTCACTTTTGATCCGATCCGATTTTTCAGTTTAAAATATTATTAGTCTTGGTAGCAAAGAAAAGATTACTGGGTTGCTACGTGACATCTGTCTTTCTTTTGTGGCAGTAAATGTTAGACGGTCCCTTCAAAGTTGAAGAAGAGACTCGCGGCAACGGAGGTATGGTTCTAGAGAAGGATGCTAAGGATATCATGGACCGAGCGTGTGCGCAACGATGCAGTTTTGAAGAGTGTGCAAGCAAGGAGAAGGCTTATACCCGTCACCAGGAAGAGGCAGCTCACATTTCGGGACACGTAATGCGAAAAGAGTGCTTGGAGAATCTGATACTCTAAGTTCGAGTAGATTGAAATAGGGACAAATGGAAAGCAACGCATGTCATACCTAGCGGGTTTAAGCAAGGGGAACTAGCAGAACATGGTCTCGGGGAACTAGCAGAAGGACAAAATTTATTGAGAGCTACAAGAAATAGTGAGGAGAAAATAGTCATGTTCGCCTACGTCTTGAAGTTACACGGCACATAAAAAGAATAAAAGTCCCAGAAAACCCTTCCCGTAAATATCATCTCAACGATAATCATACTTATTATAAAACCAAGATTGTGCGTGTGTGTGTGTGTGTACGTTTATATATTGGATCGGATTTCCTACATTTTTCAAGCGATTTCAACAAAACTTCACAGGACTACGTAAAATTACCTTGCGGTGGTTGTGACAGCGCCAAAAATTGGAAAAACGCTATTGTTTTTGCACGAAATCAATTTGAAAACACGATTAACAGGAATCACCGAAATAAATGAAAGGGGGACAACTCATATCGAGTTATACTTACTATTATAAAACCCAGGTTGTTTGTGTGTGTGTGTTCGTTTATATATGGGATCGGATTTCCTACATTTTTCAACCGATTTCAACAAAACCTCACTTTTTTTTGGCAGGTAGTGTTTCTTATTGTCTTGCACACTTTTTTCTTTATTTTTAAATTCAAAATGCTTTAAAAATTCCATTTACAATACAACTGTTTATAATAAAATGTTTTTGTTTGAGTTTGGGTTTGACCAATCCGTAAAAAAACAAAAAAAAACAAAAAAACTAATTAAGACATGCGTGTCCGTCAACCTTAAACAATAATATTTGTCAAATTTATTTTTCAGTCTTTATGATGGTCGATACTTGATCTATGTCTTACTGTTACGTCCCCGGGCAACTCCGACCCCTACTGCTAGTCATAGCTAACTGAATAAACAAAATTCTTTGGGACGAATAGTAATTCGAACACTTTATGAAAAAGAGAAACGTCTTTTCATTCACGAGAAAACAAAATAAAAACCTTACCAAAAATAGCTTGTCAGTGATTTTTAATGAAACCTGTATTACAGAGAGATTTCTGCTGAAATATACAACTCTATTTATATACGTGTGTATCTGCGTAACTGTAAACAAGCACATTCATCAATAACTTGGCGCACTGACATATGACTATATATGTAAGTTTTTCGGGTTTTCATCATGCATTCACAATATAATTCACTGTGTTGGCGAAAATAGATTTATATAATGCATATACAATAATGTAAATAATAATAAATTATCATTAACCATCGACGTCCCTTTCTTTATTAGGCATTCGGCCGGTCATTTAATATGCATGTTCTGAGGCTAGATTTATGTATCGTGAAGCTGGCCTTTATTCATTGCTTGCACATCAAAAGAAAAAGGGGCGGGAAAAAGAAAAGAAAAAAAAAAGAAACTTCGTGGGTACTGGAAACCGTTGTATGGAAATCAAATAAAAAAAAAATAGAAATCAAAAGTTATCTAAAATAGGGTAACAAAAAAAGAAAAAGAAAAAGAAAAACAATATACAAATTATTCATTGTCGCAAATAACCGATAAACAGTGGAAACAGCGTTTTTACTCTTGATTGTTTTCGTTGTTGATACAGACGGGGATTTCGATAAGCGAAACAAAATGTAGAGAGTATCAAGCAATAAAATAAAGATAAAATAAAATAAAAAAAAACTTAAACATGACAAGGCGGGAAGGTTAAGTCAAGCAGAGGTCATATAATCCCATCTCCTCTGTATTTAGAAATTTTGGCATGGGCTTATAATTGTGCAGTAGCCATTGAGGAAACAATTCGCTTGGAAGAAATAATAAGTTCTTGAGCAGCGAGCTCATTAACCATTGCACAATGTCTCTGAATCGCAAGTCAAATCCTTACACTTGAGATCCCATTGTTTTCTTGAAATATTCTCCCATTCTGATTCGCCATCAATTTTTACCGCAAAATTTCTGACTGAAGGCCTCCAACCAAATCTTCCTTTGGCTACAATTTCTCCATTTAGATTGTATATTTATTCAATAGAAGATTGATTTCCCACCCTAGAGCCTTTTTCGCACGGATTCAACATCTCAGACCTACAGTTGCTGAAATTGATGCCACGGATAGGAACCACTCTCATTCCTTCCGTACAAGCGAGACAATCTTGGTAACCATTACACACCCTGAGGTGCCCTAATGATTTTCTAAGTGTAGTTTAGATGT